ATATCCATTCTTGTTTCACATATAGTTTTGTCTATAAGATAGTGCAAGCATATAATTTCTATTTACCCATGCATTTAATTGCACTACTCTTCTCTCTTAAATTTCCATTTTTCCATGTGATATTATTTTTCTCATCTTAAAACACACACACACACATGCACAAGACTTTTGATGCCAAGTTACCTCAGCTTTGTTTGTCCAAAAACACTTTTATTTCACTTTCATTTTTGAGAGATTTTTTTTGAGTGCAGAATTCTAGGTTGAATTACTTCCTATCAGTACTTTAACCTGTGATTCCTTGTTTTCTGGCTTCCTATGTTACTGTTTCATAGTCAGCTTTCACTCTCATTGTTGTTTCTTTGAAGGTAATGTGTCTTTTCATCTGGATTTTTAAAGTTGGGTTTTTTTTTGGTCATTGGCATTTTTAATATGATGTGCCTTGTGTTTTCTTATTGTTGGTGATGTTTTGTGTTTTTATCTTTTGTGTTTTACTGAGCTGATTAAATGCGTGCATTGATGTTATTCATGAGTCTTGGAAACATATCTCTGACAATTGCTTGGCACATTCTTTGTATCTCTTCTTCAGATACTCCTTTTATGCCTATGCGTATTCTGCTGTTCCTTTTATATGTCTGTCTTTTCCTCTGTTCTCTTAAATATTTAATCATAGTATTTTAGTCATTACCTGCTGACTCTAAATCTGGATCATCTGTGAATCTGTTTTGTCTTTTGAATTTTGGTAAATTTCCTTGTCTTTTTACATGTATAGTAATTTCTGATTGCGCGGTAAGCATTGTATGTAAACAAATTATAGGTGATGTTTTCTACCCAAAAGGTTATCACCGTCGTTTGTTAGGAAGCAAAGGCAAGGCGTGATCATGTCAATCTAATCATAAATTGAGCTGTGCTGGAGAACCAGCCTACCTCTAGTTCTCCAATCCTCAGGTTGCACCCTCCTGTGCTTCGAGAACCTATCAGGTCCCTTAGCACTGAAACATTACAGTAGCTCCAGTTGTGTTCTTGAGAGCTCCACTCTCCATCTGTGTGCCCCACTCACTCTTAAAGCCTGCAAGTTGTTCAGATGAGACTAGTCAGGCGCTTGAGGCTACCATCTCCCTGTTAAATTTCTGCTTCTGAAAGCATCTCTGTCATTGTAGGACGTTTCATTCTACTTTTTATAAGCTTTTGGCCCAAGGCACCACTTACTCAGCTGAAGAACTTAACAAATGTCCCTTGGAGAAAATGGCCATGCATTTGAGGATTCTCAAATTTTTGTGTCTCTAGTCCCATGCACCTGCAAAATATTGTATAGATTTTCTTTCTTATATAACAGGCTCTCTAGACCTACAGAAGGGCAGAATTGGCAAATGTCCCCAAGAGAAACAAAACAGCAGCTTGTAATTGTTTGTTTACTCAGATTCTCTCCATCCAGGATTTGGTTTCTCTAGTTCTCAGTTTTGCCAGAGTTTTGTGATGTTTTAAAAATATGATTTTTGTAGCTTTTTCCTGTCTTATCATTTTACACTGCGACAGCAGTAACCTGCCATGACCTACGATATCCTGTGCAGAAGTAGAAGTTCCTTGTTTGTTTTTCCTAAGTACTCTAGATCAGTATGAAGTTGTGTTACTTAAGAAAGATGGTATTTCAAGGAAGCTTTGAGAAAGTAATCAACTGAGAAGAGGTACCCCTCCATCAATTAAATATTCTCTCATAAAAATAAACCCAGTGACAACATTTTTCAGGGGTTGCTATTATATGCTGAATGTGTGCCAAGGAATGTATATCCAGATATTCACTATCCCTAGAGTAAATGAGACTGAAGCTAAATGTAATCAACACAGAATACACTAGTAGAGAAAATAGAGGAACTAAAAAACATTAATGTAGGAAACATACAGATTGCACTCAAATTCCATTTGGAAAAAGAAGGGGAAACAAAGGTGGTATAGAGACCCTGGTCTTTAGCATCCTGGACAACTGTTAAGTAAATGATAAGCGCTGTAGAGTAATAGTTAAGAAGGAAGACTCTGGAGCCAGCTTGCCTGATTCCACCATTTTCTGAGTGACTTGGGAAAAATTGCTTAACCTCTCTGTGCCTCAATTTCCTCATCACAAAATGCTAGCACTGCTTTATAGAGTTCTTAGGATGACTGCATGAGTTAACACTTGTCAGGTGCTTAGAAATGTACCTGGCTCGTGTTTAGCACTCTAAAGTGTTGCTGAATAAATGATTTTTATGCATACCCTCCACCCCACTTCCTTGGCTCACTTCCCTGACAGCAGAGGCAATCTGGCTGCCACGAGAATCTTCCCAGCAGGAGAATGTCTCATTTCCAGGTCATTCTGGTGCAGTCCTGAGCCCTAGAGAAAAATACCCTTTCAAGTGGGGATGCTGCTTCAGCAGCTCCCTTTCTATTGATGCCTGGAGCTTGCTTCAGGAATTGGACAATCACAGTCCTGTTTCCCACACTTAGGTTTTTGTTTTTTTCTCTGGTTGTTTTTAAATTTAATTTGGGGAAACTCCTTTTGCTAAAGAACCAGCTTGCAAAATCTAGTTACGCATGCCAGATACGGGTTTGACCTCCTGATTTCTGTGTATTAGCACCGTGTCTCAGCATTCGACCCATGAGCTTGATTCTAGGCCTTAAAAATCTTCTTCCTGGGGCAGACTGTAGGCTCAGATGGCCAGGTGGGGGTGTTGGTCTTAGCGTTGTCCTGGAACACCAACAACCTGTGCTTCTCTCAAGTGCCTGTTGTCATATGAGAGGAAACCACCTGTGTCCTGCTTTGTTTTATCTTCTTTTGTGTTGATGAAGGGATGGAATCGGCACTGGCATGAAGTAGCAAGGGCTTTGGAGGTGGGATGAGCCATCTCATTTCCTCTGAATGCTCCCAATGTCCACATTCTCAGTTAAGGCCCATGGCTAGAATCTCATTTCTTAAACCAGCAACCTCACTTCAGAATGGATAGAGAAAACGGTTTCTGCAGTATCTAGCTCTTACAGGCGACAGGCTGCTGGCAGAAGGGGGAACCCACAGCAATCCATGTGGCCTGGTTGTCTTGAAGTGCCCCAGCTTCGGTCGGGGGCAAGCTCAGTCTCCAGGGTGTCTCTCTTCAGGTTTCCTAAGGAAACGAGGGGAAGTAGTTGACACAGTTGCATGTTTTGATGCTGTCCTGCAAAGGCCCCTAAAGTCCCCATCTCTGCAGTCCCAAGGTCTGAGAGAGCACCGTGTCTGCTAGTCTAGATCACAGCTGTGACTCGCTGCTACAGAATAGCATGTGCACTGACACACCAGTGGGGCCGCAGGTGTTCTCAAGCACAGCTACCTGCCTCCACTGAGCTGGTTTGATATTTTAGTGTCTGTCCCTTGCCACACCTAACTCAGGAACAGTTTCTGTATCAGTGCAGTCTTCTCTTAACATTGACTGTGAGTGGGCCCTCTTAAGTAAGGGGGTCCATCCTTGGGTTAATAAATGGTGGCCAGAGTGGTGTCACATCACCTTAAAATATATTGACTAATGCCCGGCCGGGCGTGGCTCAGCGGTTGAACATCGACCTGGGATCCAGGCGATTGGGGTTCGATTCCCGGTCAGGGCACATGCCCAGGTTGCAGGCTGCAGCCGATCAATGACTCTCATCATTGATGTTTCTATCTCTCTCTCTCCCTCTCCTTTCCTCTCTCTGAAATCAATAAAGATATATTTT